GGCTAAGCTGTAACTAGTGTGTTTTCTTTCTTTTTTTCCATTTCTTGAGGTTCTTTGTTGCTCTTGGAAGATAAGCGTGTTTGTCTTCCTATTGTAAATCTTCTATTGATGAGTTAATGAAAGTGTTATTGATCAAAAAAAAAAAAAAAACTCGTACCTCGGTTGCTCTCAAGGGATTGTAGATGGTGAGATAAGATGATTTTAGTGGCTAGGAACTCTTCCCATGAGACAGCTGACCCCATATGGTCAGTATAATAAAAACTCTTCTAAGGGGATATGATTGTCTTCACTGTATTGTATTTTGTAGTATATATTTATTTTCACATATGCATACAAGGACATGCCTTATGGACTATAAATTGCCAGTTCTGAATGCGTCAATGCTACTTTTTCTCATGACAAGTCAACAATAAGCTTTACACGGCTATATTTTTCTTTAACAGTTCCTTATGCATGCTTATTTCGGTTTCTGTGACAGGTTTATCTGATACTTGATGAATTCATTCTAGCTGGAGAGCTCCAAGAAACAAGCAAGAAGGTCTTTATATTTTCATATATTTTAGTCTTTTTTTTTTGGTAAGAGACTTAAACCTCCCCTGAGATTTCACCTAAATACTGAAACATCTCCTCACTTTTCAATTTGGACTTAGGCTTCCCCTCTCGTATTTATAAACTGTTATCTCTAAGGAGGAAGAAAAATGACTAACATGGTCCTGGGTTAAATTTGGGATTATCTTTGTCTGTAATTAATTTAGAGAAAGAAAAACCCATCATCTTCAACCTTGGAACATTAAAAACTTTACTGCTGTTCACACCATGGCTGCATCCACTTGCCGCCAACAAAGCTCCAGTAGTGTCATACAGGTGTATTTTCTTCTCTCTGGAAACAAATACTCATCCTAAGATCAACTCTCGTCATCTCTTGTTCTTCTTTTTTTGTTTTTTGGTATTTTTATGTTTGGTTTTGTAGCAATTCTTCATAGCTTGGTTCTGTTGAAAAAAACAGAGGGGAGAAGGGGAGAAAGAAGGGAGAAGATGAAGGAAAAAAAAAAAAAACAGAATGGAGAGAGAGAGAGAGCTCATGTACAGCTAGTCTGTTGTTCTCTTAGAAAATTTGAAGAATAACGATGGATGTAAAGGTCTTTTTTATCCATATAATCAAAGAGGTATTAAGGGAAAAATTGAGATTTTCAAGAAAAACTGAGATCCACATGCTAACAGATGTGGATGGAGAGTCGACCAATGGGAGGTTTTTGTCTACTGATGTTACCCAAGAGGGGAGGTCTAAGTCCAATTTGAAAAGTTAGGGGATGTTTCAGTATTTAGGTGAAATCTCAGGGGTGGTTTAAGTCTTTCACCCTTTTTTGTTGATTACTATTTTTTAATTTAGTTGTGTAATTGAACTAAATTTAGGTTGTTATTTTGTTGGGGAAAAATGCCATATCCCTAGGATGGGATTACCAAATGACATGATCTGTCTAAACCTCTACCTGGCTGTCGAATAATATATTTCAGCTACGTCCATGACATCATGGCAATGTCTCCCAAGCCAAAAGGCTTTTCTTTGGGCTTTTTGCACACCTGGTGCAATGGTGGCACTAGTCTTTTTAAAGCTGTTGTAATGGTACTTCTGAGGAATGGGAAGCTGGTGATTGAATTTGTTTCTAAACCTTGCAGGCGATCATAGAGAGAATGGGGGAGCTGGAAAAGCTAGAGTGAGAGAATTGATCATGTAGAGAAGGATGTTTAGCAGTTTGTTTCCGCCTTGTTGCTTCATTGTTCAGTCATTTATTTATCTTCACAGTTAATATCAGCCTCAGTGCCAGGAAGAGGTGCAACAAAAATGGTGGGGAATCATGGTTTCTTTGTTATTTCATTCCTTTTCTTTCATTTCCTTGTCATATATGTGGATTGTGGTGGTAGGAGGAATGACTGCCAACATGTGGGAGTAGCTGTATGTATACGTGCTTGAATTGGGATGAGCTTATTATTCCAGAAGATTTTTTTGTAATTTCATTCATTTGTATCTCGAATGATCTTTGTTTCAGATGTCTTCATTTTATTTCCCTTGAAAAAGCGTAGCAGCACAGAACTCAATATTCTAGTGGTCTGGCAATCCCGTACAATTAACTCAAGACCAAGGATTTGTCTGCATCACTACATGGTTCGCTCAGGCTATGTTTGGTTTGATAGAAAATAAGACAAACGGAATTCCCCCCAACTTTCTGTTTCTCTTATTTTCTATCAAACCAAAAAATATGTAGCTGAGGTTGTCCGATCATGATTCACCAGGGAGCGCGGGTACGAAATACGAATGGCTGACAAAATAAATAAATAAATAAACATGATGACGAGTAATGACTAATGAGTAGCGATGGATGTAAAAATTGCACTTAGAGCCTGTAAGGTTCACAGGAATAGGGTCCAGAATTGGAATTGGCCATTCAGATTCCAATTGTTTGATTGGATAGAATTGAAATCTCATTTTCATTTCAGATGGAATGACATGACCATTTCCTCTCTTTCCATTGGAAATGAAATTCCATTCCAGTTGATTTCCTGTCTGAATCAAACAGACGATGGAAATCAAACAGACATGACCTACTTGAACCTCAAGTGTTGCCAACTATGATGGAAGTATGATTTATAATTTATATAATGGAAAAAGTATGATTTATAATTTATATAATTTATAAATTATATGATGGAAAAAGTATGATTTATAATTTATATAATGGAAAATTATAAATGGAAAAAGTAGAGTCCTGAATAATCACATTGTATATGATTTAAATAAAACAGAGATCCACACCACGACAAGGCTCACAACCACAACCGATCAAGGGCAGTAGTATATATATGAGTAGTACCAAATTCACTACTCCACACCAAACCTCTACCTGTAAGCCAACATGAATGTCTCGCTTCTCAACTAATCCATTAAAAACTCTAGCAAATGTAACAGCACTTCACATGCCCTTCACATAAAATGATAATACCCCCATCTTCTTTGAGTTTTTCTCATATTTCTATCTAATTAAAAGCACAGTGGTTTTGTATATATTGGCAAGCAGCCCAAGCTTAATTATAGAATTCTTGAAACTTGAAAGGAAACAGAGTAGCTCCGGCAACAAGATCGCCATCTCTTGTGAAATGTGGAGTGAGGGAGATACCATACAAGGAGGTCTGCTGCCAAAGAAGGTCAGCCCAGGGAAAACTAAACTTCTGGCACTTGGCAAGGCATTTCCCAACCAACTTGTGATCCAAGAGTATCTTGTTGATGGCTACTTCAGGAACACCAATTGTGATGATCCTGACCTCAAGCAAAAGCTTGCCCGACTATGTACTCTCTCTCTCTCTCTATGTCTTCTTTTTTTTTTAAATATTTGTAGCTAACTTTTTTAACTTAAATATTTCTTTTTTAGGTTAGCTAACTTTTCCGTTAATTATTTATTTGTCATGTACATTCAGGCAAGACCACAACAGTCAAAACACGGTACGTAGTCATGTCAGAAGAGATTCTGGCCAAGTATCCAGAGCTTGCAGTTGAAGGCCTGCCCACTGTAAAGCAGCGGCTGGATATCTCAAACAAGGCAGTCACACAAATGGCCATTGAAGCTTCACAAGCTTGCATCAAGAACTGGGGAAGGCCTAGTTCAGACATAACCCACTTGGTCTATGTGTCTTCAAGCGAAGCCCGGCTGCCCGGAGGAGACCTCTACCTTGCCAGAGGACTTGGGCTTAGCCCCGAGGTCCGTCGAGTGATGCTCTACTTCATGGGTTGCTCAGGAGGTGTCGCAGGCCTCCGCGTTGCCAAGGACATTGCAGAGAATAACCCCGGCAGCCGTGTTTTGCTAGCAACTTCTGAGACAACCATTATAGGGTTCAAACCTCCAAGTGCCAACCGCCCATATGATCTTGTGGGGGTTGCCCTCTTTGGCGATGGTGCTGGAGCCATGATTCTTGGCAGAGACCCCATACCTGGCATCGAGAGGCCTCTCTTTGAGTTGCACACTGCAATACAAAACTTCTTACCCGACACTGAGAAGACGATAGACGGGCGGCTCACAGAAGAAGGAATCAACTTTAAGCTAGAGAGGGACCTTCCTAATATAATTGAAAATCACGTACAAGGTTTCTGTGATAAATTGATCCAGGCAGTTGGGTCGGGGTCGTCCTACGATGATAACGATTATAACAACATGTTCTGGGCCGTTCATCCGGGTGGGCCGGCAATCTTGAACCGGTTGGAAAAGAGGCTCAACTTGTTGCCTGAGAAGCTGAGTGCTAGTAGGAGAGCTCTGATGAACTTTGGGAATGCAAGCAGCAACACGATTGTGTATGTTCTTGAGTATATGGTGGAAGAAAGCTTGAAGATGAAGAAGGAAGGAAAACAAGACTCCGAGTGGGGTCTCATACTTGCTTTTGGACCTGGAATTACCTTTGAGGGGATTCTTGCTAGGAACCTCCTTGTCTAAGAGTAGTTTCTCTCTCTATCTTTTTCCCTGCTTTCTCTTTCATTTTATGCTAAACTGAACCAATTCAATGATTCTTATTAAGGAACATATTCAAGTATTTTAATGTCTGTTGTGGTACTTATGCAGAACTCTGTGATCACCGATCACAGATTCCTTAAAGCCTTCAATCACTTGGTTTCTGAGCCAAGTGATTAAAGAAAACATTCAATCGCTTGGTTTCTGAGCCATCACTAATAGACCCAGTAATTCAAAATAACTCTCAGCGAACAGCAGCACATCAATGATCAAGCATTTCCTGTAACCCTTCAATCAATTTGTCTTTCTTTCTAAACAATCAGAAATGAAACACAAAATGGTGTCAAGGAGACACATTCATCTTCATGTGGCCCAATTCCAGAATTTCAATCATCTTCTTCATCAGGAAAGCGTAGGTGCTTGCCCTGTGGTGCTGGGATACCCTTCAATCGCAAGATGCTAGGGGAAACAGGAGAGCTCTCGGTGACCTCCTCTTGTCCTTCAATCTCATCATCACTGTTGTAAAGAAATCGGATATGTTTACCCAGAAATTCAGGCATTCTCTTCTCCTGTATGCGTACCTTGCTCAACCCTGTACACAGTTCATCCACCAATGCTCCCTCTTCTTCAGTATAATCTCCTTCTTCGTCGTCTTCCTGAACATGCCTATAAACCCGCAGCTTGCTTTCTTGTTCTATCGTCATAGTGGAGTATGATGACGAACCAGATATCTCGGGTTCCTCAGAAATGCTTAGAAGTATTAACGGAGTTGATGGCATCTTTTCCAGTTCAAGAGTTTCTTGCTTCAATCCTTCGGTGATCATTACGTCCTGAAAGCATGATAAGAAGATCATTAATTAAGAAAAGAAGCTCAAATATTGTTTCAGTTGTAGTTTTTGCAAAGAAATAAATCATACCTTAGAAGCCTTGGATCCCTCCTCTAATTCAAAGGCTGTTGTTGTAGATGTCGGGTGATTGGGTGTGATGTCGAAACCGCCATTGCAGGAGAAATTTGGAGCGTGGGGTGTATTGGCGGGAGTGAGGGCAAGAAGTCCTGACGAGGAATTTAGGAGGATGCCTTGTAAACCAAGATCAAAGCGATGTTCGAAAGCGAGTTTCGAGAGATCGGCGTCATCTTGCACCTTCTGCAGGAGGGTCTTAACCTGCCTACGGAGCAAGGACTCGCCAGATCCGGGTGCCATCTTTGGTTTAATCTTCTTCATGATCAGGGTCGAAGGGGTTTCCAAGTTGTTCATGGCTAACCCAACAATCGGTGAATCATTCGTCACTTCGGCGAGGGGCCCTACCGTTTCGTCTGATTTATTGTTCTTTCGTCTTGAAAGAACCTTTTCTGTGCCTTCACTTTTCTCTGAGAGATTGACACAGGAAAAAGAAGCTGGGAACAATGACTTGTTTTTTCTTTGTACAGGGACCTTTTGGCCATTGCATTCATTTCAGGTAAAAGAAAAAGAGAAAGAAAACTTACCAGAAACGGAGGAGGGATTGTTGTTCCATGACACCTTGGTCTGTGATTGCGCGAACCTTCTTTTTGACGACGGAGTTCCCATTTATCAAATCAAAGAAGATTGCCGGAAACTAGTCGTCGAACAACCGTGAGCTTTTTTTTAAAAGATTCCGTTCCTTAGTAGGAAATGAATGTCGAATGGGGATGATATTTCTTTTCTATAGACACCCACATCTGCCGAAAAGGTTTTGAAACTAGCCCCTATATAAAGGTCTAGGGCCCGTCCAGATTTTCAAAATTACGAAATTTTGAGTCGCCTGATCAATTCGTTTCAGTTCCATCCTTCAGGGTCTGTGAAACATTGATTTATTTCTTTTGTCATTGACATGGAGATTCAGCAGGAAGGAGAAGGCTTTTTTAACTGAGGGTTG